TACATATGATCACTTTAAAAAAATTCACGTCTGTTAGCAATTCTGTACCTCCGTACATGATACAAGTTTAAATGTCAAAGTATACCATCAATTGTAAAAATCATTGCATTTTCAAAAGTCCACTAGGCCATTCTTTTCACAGTTAATTGTCAACGGATTTTCCGTTATTTCCCGATCATGACATAGAGCACACGGTGGCTGTGACTGGTCTACAGGGATACTCACTCCTCCATGGCACATGATCCCACCTTTGATGTTTTGGAAATTCGTGTTTGCACGGCTCCTATTTTCTATTGTTTAATGGACTTTTGATCTTCAATACTGTTCGTTATCCCAATCCCGCTGTATTCCCTGCTTTTTATATCTTCATATCTTATATAATTCATGTAAGAGTTAAATAAAATATTTGCTAGTGATGATAATTTCCTGCATTTAATTATTGCACTGTACTTAGCAAAACATTAATAAGATGCTTAGCGTAATCATGCTTGAAATGTCCTTGACAATATGTGTATGGGAATGAACTTAAATAACAGCAACTAAGAAATGTATCTTTAATATAGATAAGATAAGATAAGATAATTTTATTTCCAATTTTGGGCCCAGAAGGCATAAAGGTTTCTTACAATGACAAGATAGAAAGTTCTAAAAGAAAGGTTATAGTAAACATATACAAACATAAACACACATACACACACATGTATATATCTGATATAATATTACAAGTAACTGGACATGTAGATGCAGCAGTTGGGGTTATCAAATTGTTAATTAACATGCAATCAAAATCAATATTATCAATATACATATATCCCAGTTTACAAATAAATATGTGTCTATAACATTATTTATGAAAACTCATGGCATTATGCCTTATTTTGAAGGCTTTGACAAGATATTCACTTAGCTTTGTAATAATTAGATTATCTTCATTAGACATTAACCAGAGAAATTTGTCTCCTTTTGATAATAATATGAAATTTTTGTTTAGTAATGAGATATCACGAAAAAGTTTATATCTTTCTCCTCAGTATATAATGGGCATTCAGTAAGAAAATGATATTCATCTTCTATATTGTTTTGGTTACACATTAAACATATTCTTTTGTTTCTACGAGGATTCTTTGACCAGCATTATTTTTTACAGATTCATATCTGCCTTTTTCAATTCTTAGGTCATGAGCACTTATTCTAAATCTGCAAATGGATTTTCTTATTTCATGAGATTTAATGTACATATATTTTTCCATTATAAAATTTTCTTTAAACATAAAATAAGTAGTAAGTTTTCCAGATTCCAGTCCCTCTTCACGTTTCATTTTCCAATATTGTAGGAAGTGTTTTTTCAAATGTTTCTTAACTTGTTTTTTTAAAAATGTGTTTTTGTATGTTTTACATTCTGGTAATGAGAGATTAATTTTCTTACTATAATAAATTACATTTTTGTACCAGCAGTTAATATTGCCTTGATTAAGGTTAATATTTTCTGTATATGCTTTATGTAACAGGGAAGATTCTGGACTTGATTGCAACCTATGCCAGTATAATAAGATGTTTTGAATAATTGAAAAATACATAGGGTATCTTCCCAGTTCAGAAATTATTGCAATATTAGTACTTTTCTTCCCAGCTTCCAATAGATATTTACAAAATTTGATATTTAAGCTTTCTGCCTCCCACTCTTTAAAAATATCGTATAAATGTTTGTTTTTATCTTGTATGCGTGCTGTAAGGGTTCCCCAAATTTCACAGCCATATAATGCAACAGGCTTTATCATGTGATCAAAAAGATGTAGGAGTGTTTTGATGGGAGGATGAACAGCTTTTAGGTCTTTGTATAATTTGAAATAATCTTTAATATATTTTAGAACCAGAATGAAGAAATATCAATTCATGCAAACTCGCCCATCATAATTACCTTTACCTTCAATTAAAGAAATCATCATGTAGCAAAGCGTGAATATTTAAGTTTTTAACGACAAAAAGAAAAAAACATGATAAATACAAGTTGACTCTAATAAATCTAATGTATTGTATTATATTTATCTGATTTATTTGGACTCTGTAGATCACGTAGAATACACGCATTATACGACACAGTACTCATTGTTATCTTCATTATACCCCCCGCTTGAAAAGCGGGAGGGTATATAGTAATCGTTAATTCCGTCCGTCTATACGTCTTTCCGTCCGTCCGTCTGTTACGCTTTGGGGTACCCATCTCTTATCCGCAACTCCTCTCATACCACTGAATAAAATTTGATGAAACTTTCACAGAATCTTTATTACATATTGCCATTGTGCACCTCCTATTTTACTTTTTGATCTGACACATATTTATGGTTTCCCACAACAAAACATGGACACTTCCATTATAGTCATATGGGAGGCGGGGGTATCATTTAGTGAGCTCATTGCTCACAGTACCTCTAGTTTATTTAGTTTCTCTTTTTACCATGTGTGATTAACCTTCAATCAAAATTTCCCAATACCCCAAGGAAAGAAATTAAAAATGAATAATATTCATTCATATTGCCGAATGCTATTCAAAACTTAAGAACTTTTTTTTCTAAAAGTCTCATTTCTAAGACTAACAGTGTTCTTTGTCAGCTTACTCCAATTTCCAAAGAAAGCTTGTCAAAGAGTCCACATTTTTCATTCAAAGGAAGACTTATTTTCGTTTAGGTTCCACACGGCAACATGCTATTGATCTCCCTTTACATAGTGCTGGCAGTCTTCTACAAAGCCGCCCCCTCCGTGAAGTTGCTCGGCTAGTGGAATTCCGTGGAATTGCTCCAATAGTGGAAAAAAGTCCTCCTATTCTACTTCCTTCGCCAGGACCTTAAGTGACAAGAATAATATTCCATATTTTATTTTTCATTTTTACAATAAATTCAGTCAGTTTTCTCCTGATCAAATTCTTTTGATATATTAAAAGATATAAAAACGTAATGCAAACAAATTCAAGTTTTAAACATTATCCTTAATAACAGAAAAAGTAAAATTTTCCGGTACCTTTTGGATTTTGAGGGTATATAACTGCAGTCTGTTGATTCTGCACTTGCCCAAATTGTCCCTCACAGAAGCATAAAGTCAGAACAAAAACGAAAACTAAAACCCCAATATTCTCCATGTGTACTTTCCTTAGTTTCAATCTCAATTTGACAAATTGTGCAAGATTCCAGCAATTTAAATACATGTACATCTGTGCACTCACCAGGGGAATATTTTGACAATTCTGAAAATTCTATATGTCATTTGTCATCCCTCGCTGAATTGAAGAGATGAATTGACTTTCAGGGCGAGTAACACCGTCATTGTAAGTTTTTTTTCCATCGTGCCTCATTCAACTTTGTTTATATAATCTTTTTTTTTCCATACATGAATTTAAATAGTTTTTAGAAGTTACCTAGAAAATCATGCATATTTCAAATTTTAGAAAAAATATAAATTTTCGAATACACATGTTCTGTTAAAGTAAATTTTTATCCCGTCTGGCAAATCAAATATTTTCTTTGAAATTATTCATTACAAAATCTTGTTTTATGTCGGATTGGTGTTTTATACGCAGAAACTATACTTCCTGGTATAGGAACACATGTTCCTTAACCTAAAAAAAAGAAGTTTGGATAAAGAAATGGTACAGAAAATACTTGATGGAGAGAATTAAGTATAACTTCAAACGTTAAAACAACAGATACATTCGATATTCAGAGTCTCATTAAAAATTCACTTGGAAAGAGCCTTGGAGAAGTACTCTCCCCATTCCACTGGTGATTATAATATTATTATCAAATTATCAAAAATCACATTGCAAAGAAGTTTGAACTTTATTGTGCCCTAAAAACTTTAAAAGTTATGAAATTGGTTTTAACAATAGTTGAGTAGTTGAATATGATAAATCATTATGGCATGAAGTAGGACCTTTCTGGAAATATGACGTCATTAAGTTGGTACATTTCTAAGTTTAATGCAGAAAACCTCAAAATGACTCATTTCTGTCCCAATTTTCCTTTCGAAAATAGTGTCTGCCACCGTCGCCCATTTTAATATTTGGATATATTATGTAAACTGCTGTGAAAAATCACATATCTCAAAATCTTTTTGGGCGACGGTGGCAGAGTATGTTTTCTGAAAGAAAATATCATTGAAAATTTATGTCTTCTGCAACTTTTCAAGAAAATACGCGAAAATGCACAAGGTAATGTCGTCACAATTAGCATGCAGAAGGAAACGATTTGTGTATTCTTACGACAGAGAATTCCCATGATTCAGAAAGAAAGAATTTTGATATCTTAAATCACTTTCATATAGGGAATAATTTGTATTGAAACTGCACCTTGTTCTTTAATAAAAATAATACCGGTACAATGATTTTTATGTTTCATTATACTATACTGGCTTGGTCCATCGTTAACTGAATTGTAATTAAATTTCAATTAAATTCTGACTGTCAGTCTTATTTTTTTTAACACTCCTAGATCCATCAATACCTTTAGTCTATTAAAACCTAAATATAACTAGGCGTCTTCTTAACAGAAAAGTTTGCAAGTTCTTTTCGATGTGTTTTCTTTTGGGAAAGATTTGTGACATACGATATATGTATGTGTACTTTTTGTTGTTTTTTCTTAAAATAGCAAAATAAAATAAAAAATTTTAATGATTGGGGTTTTTAAAAACAGACTTTTAATTACTTCTGATTTCGAAAAGACTTTCTGTGATTGCTGTATAGATCCTGCTTTCCCTGGGCCCCTGTTCATTATCTTTATATTTTATTAGTATAGTAAAAAAAAAAGATATTTGCTTGAAAAAATCTTCCTGCAATTGTCGCTCTACCCTTAACTACAACACAAATGAAACAGATTTATATTCATTTCTCAAAATCTCCTAGATAATTTTATGTGTGTGGGAGTGAAACTTAAATCACAGTAGTTAGAAATGTATATATCTGACGTGCAGAATTGAAAACCAGATTGGAAAAATATAGATATATGCAAAACTCGATGTTATAATTTTTACTTTTAGTTCAAAGAAACATGTGTTTGGCAAAGTAAATATGAACAAATAAGTTTTAACAACAAAAATAACAACAAATAGGAATAATTATGGTAAATTAAAGGTAGACTCTAATAAACAAATGCACATATATATAAATGACCGATGCGTTCTTGTTACATACATGTATTATTAAACATACTGGTATTCACTAAGTTTTTCCCATGTGTGATTTGCCTTAAACCATAATTTCCAAATGCCCCAAGAAAAAAACCCCGTGAAAATAAATATTCATTCATAATGTCCATTGTCTGCAACCAAGTTATGCAAAATTAAACCATCGAATTTTATTAAACATGATTGTCACAACACGAAATCTATATGATGTCATTCACAGGAAGCTGGATTTCTGTCTAGGTTTCACACAACAGCAGGCTATTGATCTTCATTAACATAATAAAGGTCGTATTCTGCACAGCCACCACCTCCGTCGAACTGCACCGCCAGCGGAATATAGCCCACCTGTTCTACTTGATCTGCTATCATCTAAGGAGACAAAAATAATATTCCAGAGTATATATATTTTTTTAATCAATGATAAATTCAGTTATTTCTATCCCGGTACGACTCTTTTTATATCTAAATGATATGAAGACGTACAGCAAACTATTTCCTAATTTTTAGACATTTCCTTGAAATCAGAAAACGAGCACTTACCTTTTAAGTTTAGAGGTTTATCAACTGCGATCTGTTCACGTATATCACTGGGCAAAATCATATTTCTCAAGTTTAGTTGATCAACATCGACATCTTGCATATGTCCAAGATTTTGTCTAAAATCTCGCATTTGTCCGAGATCTTGAACTTGTCCGATTTGTCCCTCACAGAAACATAAAGTCATGATAAAACCCAAAACTAAAGTCAAAATCTTCATGTTTACTATGTTAAGTTTCAATCTCAGTTTGACAAAATGTGCAAGATTCCAGCAATTTATACATGTATATGTACTCGTGGTAAGTGTTATTTTGACAATCCTGAAAATTCTAACGGTCATTTGTCATCCTTCGGTATTCCTATGAACTTAACGGAAGAAATAATTAACCTAGATGACAGGGAAAACGTCACTGTAAGTGTTTATTTCCATTCTTACTCATCCATTCATCCCATTTCAGTCCGATTTACTCATGCGTCAATATGATTTTTTTTGTGTCTAAGGGTTAAACATCAAACGTATTTGCAGCGAAAAAAATGTTGACTTGCAGTGTTTGAAAAAGTAATATTCTGTGAAGCTAAATTTTATCTTGCTAATAAATAATCCATTTTAATCAAGTATTACACAATCTTGTTTCATGTCGAATTGACCTTTTACAAGTGGTAGCGGTACTTGGTTTGACATGTGTAATTAGGAACAAATGTTTTGTTCAGATAAATGTGAAAGTATAGGAACAGCTAAAACTGAAGAAATTAAGATGAAGAAATGGCGGAGAAAAAGTTGATAGAGAGAATTAAGTACATGTATATAATTAAATTCAAACCTCAAATGTAACAGTAACTATCCATATTCAAGATCTCTCTCAAAAGACACTTAATGAAAAAGGTGAAGTAATTAACAAACAGTAATCAATCTCAAAATATATCTACAAAAATAAACGTGTCACTTTATAAATCTGTGAAAGTACATAAAAGTTTCAGTAGTGCCTTGGAGGAGTAGCATCCCTTGTCGAATGGTGATTATATTTTTATACTTGGTACAAAATTGAATTTTTATTGAAATAGCTGAGCGTATTTGATTTTTTCATAAGCATACGATGAAGTTGTGAAATAATTTCAAGTAAGTTTAACAAGATAGAGTCAGAGTATTTAATTGAATATTAAGTGTAATAATCAATCTGCTTTTCTTCAAAACCAACGCAGTGGCAGTTAGTATACCACATAATGAGAAATAAATCACTTTGAAATTGCAACTACCTTGTACGTTTCTATTAGACAGGATGTTAGCTTGTTATATGTTGAAGGTATGATTGCGTCTTCGGAATTTCCAAGAATCTTATTAATGCGTTAGGAATAAATATTTGAAGTACAAATTATTTATCAATATTTTTGTAACAAGCAAATAAATAATGAATAAATATTTCATCTTGTTATTATCAAAAATTGCATTTAAACATAAACAAAAAACATTTATATGAAAGAAAACATACAATACAAGCCAAGCTGGATTTCAGGAAGAGCTTTTGGATTTTTTATGATGCCTTTTGAAATAGTTTACTTTAAAGTAATTTATCTATTGACTTTTCGTAAACTAAGCAGATAAAATTTGATATTTCGCAAAGATAAGTACATAATTTCAAGTTGTTTAACCATAATACTCCCTTTATGATATATTTTGTCATTTAAAAGTACTAGGGAATAAAGTTGAAGGATATCCAGAAGTCTCTGTCGAGACTGTAGCTCTACTGGTTTATATTTAAGAAAAAGAAAAGTGGCACTTCGACTTTGACCTTTAATTAGAACTTTGAGTCTCTCTTCGAAGAAAAATTGCAATCAGACTAAAACTGTAGGAGGGGTAGGCTTTAAGAGGAATTTTTAAATCTATGTAATTATCAAGATAAATTTCATGAATTCATTGTACATGTATAACATGTAGTATCAGGAATAAAATTGTGAGCTTTGTTTAGCAATATAAATGCATGCCAAAATTGTTGCGAGTGGAATTCAGTGAAGATGTAGCTGCTTAAAGACACATTCATGCTAATTGAATTTTTTTATGTGTGATGAGCCTAGGCATTGTCTAAAAATTCCATCTGAACAAAGACAATGACTTCAAAATAAAATAAATCCATTTTCTTAATTGCTTTTCAGCAAATATATACAAAGATACACAGACAAATCCTCGCTCTCACACAAAACCCATCAAAAACGTCACCCATCCTCACACAAATACAAAAGAAGGTACATGTATATTCTGAAGTCTCTGGTCTTAAATGCACAATTTTAAAGGCATATTGGACTTTTATCCATTCATTTCAATTTTTTACAAGATTCAAACAACACTTGATTAAAAAAAATGTCACTTTATAGGAAACTGAAATTCTGCAAAGATTTTTGAATACACAAGAACGCAGTTTCTCAACACAATGTCATATCTCTCCTTATACAAGGCCATAGTCGTCTCCTCCTCTGCATGCGTGATATCCCTCCGGCAGCTGAATATATCCCGCCTATTCTGCTTGATTTGTCAGCATCTAATATAATACGAGAAAAATTTGATATATTCTTAATCTGCATGATTTATCCTTTTCTCCCGTACCGATTTATCTGATTTAATACATATATTAGTATTTTTGAGTGAAAGATTTTGTCGTCTATGTCAGTGTGTATATACATTTTTAATCCGAAATAAACATTTGAAGTAAAAAATTAAAAATAAGCAAACAAACCCTGTAAATCTGGTTTTTCAAGTTTCTTAGCTTCTTTTTGTTCCACATTGTTAGTCAATCGTTGTCGTTCTAAACCGATATCTTGCATTTGCTTGAAATCTTTTTCAAGGTCCTGCATTGGTCCACGATCTTGCATAGGACCACGGTCTTGTATAGGTCCAAACTCTTCCATTCTTCCGAGATCTTCCATTTGACCGAAATCTTGACTGTGTTCGAATTGTCCATCACTGAAGCATAAAATCGTGACGAAAATAAAAGCTAAAGTCAATACACAGTTCATTTTTGTTATGTTCATTGATAAACTTTAAATCTGAGAAGCTGTGCATGCTTCACTCTATTTATACTAGTGAGTGATATTTTTGTTGATTTTTACAATCCTTAAAACTCGGTTAAATTTATCTTCCTATGTATTATTATGGAGTGTGCGGAAAAAATAATGTAGCTCTTAGGATAGGAAACACCGTCATTGTAGTTGTTTATTTCCGCTTTTTGCCTCTTTATTACTTACTCTGTATATACTATTGCTAATTTCACCTGACCTATCAATAAGTGCAGTATTTGGACATTTTAACTTATTTATTACGAGTGTTATACGTCACCTCAGATAATGACTCTATTATGGTGGACGCCAAAAACCAAAATTTTCGAAAGTCAAACTTACGGTTCATTAATGACATGAATGACTATTATTGATTTGCTAAGTTGAAGTGTCTTTTTTGTCCAATTTTGCCCCGCAAGCTATGCTATAATAATTGTTTGTATTTTCCTAATAAAATACTTTTCTTTTAGAAATCATTAAGGTTGAAGCAATATTTTATATGAGTGAGCAGAGGGTTTATGAACCTTAAATAAACTTCATTCTAGTATACATATATTTGATGTAAATTCAGTCTGATATTTTATGAAAGATGTATGCAATTTACACACGTAACGAGGGATACTTTTGCTACCAGATTAAGATTAAGATTGTGTCATTTATTGTCCTTCAGATGTAATACTACAAAAGGTGCGGAAGAACAGTTCATTCAAAAGACGCGGAACACCGTCATAGCAATTGTTTACTTCCGGTGTTACTCACTGCATTCATTCTCACTTATAGTAACATCCATATGATGAAATTCAACTTTCAATATTACTTCAATATCCCAAATATGAAATACATGTGTTTATTCATAAAAGGTGTCCAACAATTTTAATGAACAGCTGGTGAGAATAAAAATATGCTGTCTAGAATTCAAAAGGTCTTTATATACGAGGGCTGTTCGGAAATTATTGAGACAATTACATTTACTCCATAAAGGACGGAGATAATTTTATGAAAATTCATCAACATCTTATAAAGAACGAATAAAACACTTATGCAAAATTTCTAATTCCTATGATAATAAGAAAAATTTAGGTGAAATGATAAACATGCATATGTCTATCGACCCGGGGCAGCATCACTTCGTCATTTAACGTCACGACAGCCGGTGTAACGTTGAATTTTGACCCGGGGGTCATTTTTCAACGTTGAATATTGAGACGTAATATGTTGAATTTAGACCCTAGTCCGTTGAAAACTGAGCAGGGTCGTGGAATTCTGATCATGAAACCGGTTCTAAATTCAACAGCATAAAAACACATATTTATAAATGACTTGGTTTTCACAACTGTGATTTAATCCATGGGCGTCGGGAAGGGGATGCTTAGCCCCCCCCCCCCCCCCACTTTTTTGCAAAGACAGACATAATTAATATAGACATTGAAAAAAGTGAAATTGGTTTAGCCCTCCCCCTTTCAACAGGCACGTTACAGTGTAGTCAAAGAAAGAAGAGTAAGTGGTAGTTCTTGATAAAAAAAAAAAATCGGATCCCCCCCCCCCCCCCCGAAATAGGATTTCGGGTTTGGACTACTAGTTTTGTCAATGGACAAATTTTCTTTTCTTTTTTTGTCAATTATTTTTAAAATTTGATTTTTTAAAATTCTTTTTCAATTATCCCCCCGCACTTTCAATTTGCTCCCGACACCAATGTAATCAATAAACAAAAAAAAATCATTAGTATATGTAAATCATTAGAATATGTAAATCATTAGAATATGTAAATCCTATTAGTATACATAGTTACACAATATACAATTTAGTTCAGAAATTTGTTTATCTTTATTGGCTTTTTGCTACATGTAACAACTCTTCATTTATTTCAATCTTAAAATTCGTAGTATTAGTATTTGGGAAATGGTGAGAGTTTAACACATGATGCACATACGTTTTAATGCTTACATGTATTTAGTTATGCACAACATTAATAACTTATATTATTATACTTTCATGTTAAATACTAAAATCTGATTGGTTTAAACGCAGTTAACAATCCGTTCTATTACCCTCAGCCTTAGCAACACACGTGGCAACGGGTAACACAACGGTAATGCCACATGCGTGGAAATTATGCGCGTACGGTTCACCGTAGAATTCTCAACACGTCAGTTGCGCGTTTGAAAGAACCGGAATAAACTTAATGTAAATAAAAGCTTGCTTCTGATGTAGCTTACTTAAAAGCAACAAACAACAGACGAAACATGCTTGCAAGTGCTAGATAACGAAACTTTGGATGATAAAGGACTCTTAGAGTATCAAATAAACAATAAAGAGGTTAGTAAATCTTTTTCGAAGTAGCGGGGAGTTTGAAAGCTTTCTATAAACGTGAACGTAAAGACAATCGACGATTTTTTTGCAGACATCTTTTAATCAAAAATGACATTCAGTATAATAAAATAAATGGTGCCTGTTTTGGAGGGTAACAGTTGAAATTGACACCCCTCGGAAAACCATTGTCAACCTCCGCTGACGCTTCGGTTGACAATGGTTTTCCTAAGGGTGTCAATTTCAACTGTTACCCTCCAAAACAGGCACCATTTATATAATGTTAGCTGCAGATCTGTAGCTCTCCGAAAAAATATATTGATAGACCGGAGAGCTACAGTGCCACCCATTGAAACAACTGTATATTTATTGCGCACAAAAAAGTGCGCTCGGTTCTCGATTTATTTCTCCATGTTTTTCAAACTGTAATCTCAAAATATTACTAACCGTGTGTTCCTAACATATTCTTTCGCTTTTTCCACAACCAAACATTCCTCATAATTGTTGTTAATAGTCCTCCTGACCCTGATATTGTAATCATCGAACATTTCGCTTATTTATACTGCCATTTTGGTTTCAAAGATAATTCGGTCCAATATGCTTCGTTCGAATGTCAACTACGAGAGTACTTGATAGAAGATGAAGGAATTTTTTGAAATCTTTCCTTATTTGCAATTGAGGTAAGAATTTGAAAGAATTGATTAAGAACCGAGCGCACTTTTTTGTGCGCAATAAATATACAGTTTTTTCAATGGGTGGCACTGTAGCTCTCCGGTCTATCAATATATTTTTTTCGGAGAGCTACAGACCTGCAGCTAATATAATGTACAACTTGAAAAACGGATTTTTTTTTCAAAATAAAAGGCTTAGTGATCTTTTTAGCATAGTTAATCAAACAGTTCAAGAACGAACCCCACAATACATATTTATTTTGTTAAGTAGAGGATGGAAAGAGGGGGTGATCTCCCCTCCTTGGGATGTTTCAATTTGCTAATAAAATCTTGTTTGGCAGATTTAAAGATGATGGTTTCATCATTTTCAATGGTTCTGAGACTGAGATTCTCGATTTCTTTGAACTTGGCAATCAGTGTCATCCGCACTTAAAATTCACCTTTGAAATCTCTGTTGATTCAGTAAACTTTTTAGACACAAAAGTGTATAAAGGAAGAAAATTTCAAGAATCAAACAAACTTGATATCAAATCTTAATATCTACATAGAGAAAGTTCTCACAACCCAGCGGTATTCAAAGGTTTCGTTCAAGGTAAATGCAAAAGACATTTGCGAAATACCAATGGCACTGCTCTCAGTATTACTAGTATTCTACAAGACTTTAAGAAACACTTGTCAAAGAGAAGCTTCTCTGATAAAGAAATAGATCCTATTATCACAGGAATAATTGGAACAGACAGAAATGATATCCTAAATAAAAGTAACGGCCAAAAGAGACCCCACAATAAATTAATTATGGTTACAAAAGTCAACGGACTAAAAAACGCATGCTAAAATACTGAAACGAAACGAAAAAAGATACAAGATGCAAAGAAATATTTATCTCGGAACCAGTTAAAGCTTATAGCAAAGCCAAAAGCAAAGGCGATTATGATATAATTTTTAGATCATGTTTACCACAAGAATACACTGCTAAGGTGGAACCCGGATGAGGCAAACCTTAGGGCAAGTACCCGTTACAAAAACTGCCGAACACTCAATACAACCCGGGGTAATGTATATTTCTATATATATTAATGAATACATTTTACTTATATTTTCAACAGAAAGGAATGCCTGGTTTAGAAGTTTGGTTTAGAGTGTAGGGTCCTAATAAATTTCATGGACAAGTTTGGCTGATTGATGTCTTTATTTTCACACCAGATTTCTAGGATTTTTTGTTTTATGTCCTATTCATAGTTTTGTAGTTACCCGGTATTTATGGATGCGATGGATTTTAGAAAGTATTGTCAAAAATTAACTTGCCATGCTTGAAGATAACTGAAATCGTGCACTGATCAAAATGTACATATATACACGGGATGATAGTTTTTTTTTTCCTATTACTCTTGAAAAGGGAAAAAATTGAAACCGAAATATAAGTAAAGAGATACTGATAAATCCCGTAAAAGAAACTCCAAGTTCAAATAATGTTCAAACTCTGAGGTGGGGTCAATATTCAACAGGGTCAATTTTCAACTTGTTGAGGTCATCAGGGATAAGAGAAAAAATTATCAAGCTGTTGAAAAATGACCCCGGGTATAAATTCAACGACTTTTGGTCTCAATTTTCAACGGAGAAAAAACATTCCTGGTTCAATATTCAACGTTGAAAAATGACCCCCGGTTCAATTTTCAACTCCGGTCAATATTCAACGTTACACCGGATATGGTTTCGCATGTAAAGTGATCGGGAAGCGTTTATTCCTTTTCCTCCTTTGTAATTACATATAACAGTGCAAAAATCAAACAGTCTCTTTTCTTAAACTATTCCTTAAAATGTATGCTGTTGCTTCCAGAGTGTAAAATTTTCATTTGTGGGAAATTAAAAGATGACAAAATCGATTTCTGCAACGCGGGTCAACGATATTAATACCGTACGTAATAACTGATGGTCGTCCGGAGCTTTTGATTTTACTCTGGTTGAATTAATTGTAAAAAAAAAATG